ACTATTATTTTTAATATAAATTTATATTACCCTACCTATTAATAATTTTATATTATATTTATAGCTAATATTACTATTTAATATTACTATTATTCCTTTTATTTATAATTTCCTTTTAAAAGCTTTAATACTTTTAATAAAATTTAATAGCTTATTTATATATATAATTAACTTTTATACTTTTTTAAAATATTATTTTTATTATTTTAGTTTTACTAAATAGTATTTTAAAATTTAGCTTTTATATTATTATACTATTATACTTTATTTTATAAGCATTTATTTTCTTGCTTAGCCAGCTATTTTTATATTTATTATATTTTTTAGCTAAAAAGCTATAATAATTTCTATTAATTATTATATAAGTAATTTTAAAAGATTAGTTATAAAAGGCTTATTAAATTAAATTTATAATTTATTATTAGTATAATATAAAATATATAAAATTATTATAAAAATAGTAAAATTTTATATATTAACTTCTTTAAAAATTATAATATTTTAATATATTATAAAAAATTAATTTTATTTTATTTATTTTTAAATTTATAATATATATTATATTTTATTAATTACTAAAATATATTATATTATTATTAGCCAAATAAAATAAATTTATTAATTAATATTAAATTAAAACTGCTAAAACCTTATTAAAAATATATTTAGGTAAAATAAAAGGCTAATTATAATATATTTACTACTAATTAGTTAGCTATTATTAACTTTATATTATATTTTTAAAATGTTTTTAAAATAATTTGCTAATTTAAATAAGCCTAAAATAATTTTTAAAATAAAAAGGCTAAGCTATTTTATTTTAATAAAGGCCTTTAAAATTTTTATAAATAATTAAAAAGGTATAGTTTTATATTTAAACTAGTTAAATATATAATTATTATAAAATATATTATTTTTATTATTTTTTATTTTTATTTTATTATAATTATATATAAAATTATATTTAAAACTTAAAATAATAAAATATTAAATATTTTAAACTTAATTTTATAATTATAATATAAAACTATAATTTTATAATAATTATAAATATTATATTATTTATAATTAAAATAAAATTTATAAAAAATAATTATATTAAAGCCAATTATTATATTTATTATAGTTTAAGCTAACTTTTTTATTAATTATATAAATTTAGGTTTATAAAATTTATTATAATATATATTTTAAAAATACTTTTTTATAATTAGTAAAAATTAAAATATTATATTACTAATTATATTATTAGGTATATAAAATATTATAATTATTTATAAAAATTTAAATATAAAAGAATATAATAATTTAGTTATATAATATAAAAAGCTATTTAATAATAAGGAAATTTAAATTTATTTATAAAAGTAAATTTTATTTTATAAATTAAATATACTATTAAATTTTAAAATAATTTTAATAAAACTAATAAATATAATTTTTATTTTTATTAATTAAAATAAAAATTAATAAGCTAAAAATTATTAAATAATAATTATATTAAATAATAGGCATTTTTTTAAAATTATAAATTTAGCTTATATTAATAGCATATTTTATATAATATTAATAATATTTAATAATTTATATTATATATAATAATAAATATAATATTTTTAAACCCTTAAATATAAACTATTAATTATTAGGTATTTTTAATAATATATTATTATATAATAAGTTTTATTATTTTAATTAAAATATTAAAATTAACTTATTAATTATATAGCTTATATTATATTAATAATATAATTTTAATATAATAATTAAATAAAAAATTTAATTTAAATATATATATTATATTTTAACTTAATTAAAAGTATTATATTAAATTTAATAATAAATAAAATAAAAATTTAAAATTTATTATATGCTAAGCATAAAAATTTCCTATTATAATTATTTAATAATTATATTTATTATTATTTATTTATAAATAAAATATTATAATTTTATATAATTAGCCTTTATATTTTATTTAATTTTAAACTTTATATAATTTTTTATATTATAAAATTAGTAAATAACTATTTTTATATTATATTAATAAAAGTATTAGTAATAGCCGCCTAAATAAATAATATAGTTTATATTTTATTTAAAATTTACTAAAAGTAATTATAGTAGCTTATAATTAGGTATTTGCCTATAATTTTTATAATAAATAGTAATAATTTAGCTATATTATTAATACTAATAGTAATAAAAACTTGTTTTATAAAATAAATAAATAGTAATATAGGGCTAGCTAATAAAATATTTATAATAAAGAAAGTTTTTAATTAAGTAAAAGCTATTTTATAATGCTAATATATTTTAGCAATTAATTATATAATTAGCAAATAATAAAAATAGAAGATAAATAAATATACTTTTAAGCTGGTAAAGGTTTTAAGCCTTATCTTATTTTTAGAAATTAGAGACCATTAATATATATACTTGTATATATGCGCGCGCACACTTAGCAAAAAGTAATCTATATATTTTTAAAAGGGATAAGGTAATATATATCCCGACTATATGCATTTCCACTCCTAGGGCTAATAACCAATAATAGCAATAAATAAGTGGTTATTTACCGCCTTAAAGCGGCATTTATATATAATTAAGGAACTATAAAGCATATTGCCAAATATTATGCGATTTTTTATTCCGTTATTTTTTTCTTTTCTTTTTTTTTTAAAAAGGGAAGGTTATATTAGCGGCAAATTACTTTATAGGCTTATTAAGTTAGATAATGCCTGGCATTAATGCTAATATAAAGCAATATAAATAGGGCCTAATACGGTTAAGGCAATAGTATTATACGCCTTGCTTGCTAATAAAAGTATTTTAATTAAAAACTTATTTCTTTATATTAAGTCTATTATAGCATTTATTACTTATATATATATAAATAAGCTTATTTTAGGCCTATTACCTTAGAGCCTAATATTTTATACTTAAAAATCCTTTTTCCTTTTTAAATATAATTTAGTTTTAATTTAAAATAAAAATAATAATTTAAAGCTTATAAAAAGCATTAAGACTTCCCGCTATAATTTATATAGATTTTTTTAGCTAGCACCATTTATTTATTATAATATTCTCTACTTAATTAATTATAAAGCTATAAAATTAATACAAGTTATTTAGAATTAAGTATAGTTTATTTTTTATTGTAAAACTAAGCTAAATAAGATTTTCGCGAGGGCCACATTAAATCTTCTACCCGAGCCAAGGCCACTTTTATATACTTAACTGCATTCTTATATCAGCTTTAAGTTATCTGCTATACTTAATATAGCTGCTAACTCCCCATATTGCTATAAAATATTTAAAATATAAATTATTTTAAAAGCATAAATTTAAAAAACTTTATTTAAAAAAGATCAAAGTTATTTAACTTTTATAAAAGTCTTAATGCTAAAAAATAGTAAGTATTATAAAGCAAAAAATAATTCGGGCAAATATATATTATCATTTTAACTAACTCCATAAATGCCAATAACAATAAGCACCCAATGCAAAAGAATTATTAAGAGGATTGTAGGAAAATGTAGTATTAATAGAGTTATTGTACTAGCCGCTATTGGATTATTAGGTAGTAAGAGTGCCAAAGTAATAGCTATAAATGCAACTAGCATACTATAATAGCCCCAAACCCTAGGCTACTAGTTAAAAGTATAGAAGGTTTAGGGAAGGTCGCGCCCACTATTAGCATAAACGCAACCTATAATAAAAAAGTGCTAAAAAATGGCCGCCAAGAAATAATAGTGGTGCAAATAAGGAAAGAGATCCTTGCTGGAGGGGGGTTTTTATAGTTTTGCAAGTCTGGTAGCTGAGGAAGGGAGCAAGGACGCAATGGACGGCACCTACTAGTTCTGCCACTGCTAGCTAGAGGCTTTCATTTACATTGGCATACAGTTTGGAGCAAAAGTAGCTTCCGCTTTTCCAACATTCTTCGACTTTCTAAGTGCGCCCCACACAGTGTATATTCACTGATCCCGGGCACTGTGTACGCCCTCAGCCAGGTTTAGTGACAACGGATCCTTGGTACTAAAACGTCATGGGTCACACCGAGTTTTCGAGTATGTGCTATTGACGTCAGCAGCCTCATTGTCGCCATCTTCAGGAGGCCATTATTAGAAAACAGTAAAATTGTTCCGAAGAGGTCAGATGTGTGAGCTATGAATTAATCTGCTCCCCCAGGCCCTTATCGTGCCATATTATGGAGAAAAGAAAGAGAAGAGTAATGGAGACTGCTCTTGCAATTTCGCCATTAAATTCCTTTAGGATCAGAGCTGTGAAGCCGGAAAATATAATACACGGCCTGAAGCACACCTGATGCAGATAACTGAGTTTTTCACAGCTGATGCCCTTGTTTTCCAGAGGTCAAGCCATATCCGTTAATAAGAGGACGTACTGCTGGGTGCTTAAGAGTAGTCACTTTACTTGCAATAGTGTCTGGAAACAGATTTATGGTCCGAAGATCAGTAATACGTTATGTGCTGGATAAATCAAAAGCGAGCCTTCTGGTAAAGCCTCAGTTAAGTTTCTGCTGGGCTCGGGTTAAAAATTGCTAAGCACCTAATAGCCAGCTGATAACGGGTCTCTTGTTTATCAGCCCAGAATGGATTCGTATTTCGCTACTTAGGGTCTAATAAGAAACGCGAAAGTACTGTATAAATATAGGATTAACTTTTTACTGTGGATAATAAACTTTGCAGGACGTCTATAACAGGATGAAGCATATCTAGTCTATTGTTATTAATGATGTATTTAGGAATGCCGAAGAGTTGTTCTAACTCGGTCTCCTGATCTAGGTTGAGAGGAATCAAACTATAGTCCCACCTGATCAACCTAGCATAATATACAGGAATTGGCATTCATAACATACATTTAGCCGACCTACAGAATTTTCGAGACGTTTATCAGTAGTTTCCTAAGCTATATCCCTATCTTATTTACGGCATAGACGACAGAAGATGGCGTGAGTCCAAAAGTCTTCCAAAGCGAAAGACCCAGCCGAGATGGCAGGGCGGCCCAGGATACCACATAAGGCAATAGACACACCGCCAGGTCGACAGGCTGCCAGTCGCCTCTTCTTCCGCTTTTAGTTCTGCGTTCTGCTATGCAAGCATACTCGGGGGGGCTGAGGGATGCTGTCGCTTCGCGCCTCGCCACAAGAAGGCCGCAACACCACTCGGCTCAATGTAGTTCAGAGTCAAGTCGACCCGCAACTTGTCTCCGACTCGCAAGAGGTAGCTCCAGGTCCGCAGATGTGTCTCAAGGACGGTCTAATCAATCTCGACACCATTAAAATGTATGTGTATATTACGCTTGGGACGGTCGGTTATGGAGAGGACGGCAAAGGTTTTATGTGCTCGGAGGGGCTTGTTCGCAAACTTTCTCGCCAGCAATGTGTTCAGCTTCGGTGGTGGAATTGTCGCCCAGAATGCGTTTGGAACCCAAGCTAGGTTGAATTCCGTCTATTTTGCAACTTGTTTGTTGTTTATTGTGGCCTTCCCCTCTACCGTGTAGTGTATGCAGGCTGGCCGTCGTGCATCGTACGCTCTGTCTTGGTCCCAGTCAGCCAACTGCAGGAATGACAGTGGGCCGTGTTCCGCGGGCCCTTGTGATGGCGTGGAACTGGTAGGGGTTCGATTGCGCGTATCGTCGAAAGGTTGGGTGGTTCGGTCGACGGCCTCTCGCTTCGTGGCTCGATCGTTTCGTCGACCTGGGTTCTTTCGGCGTTGAACTGCTTCCAGAAGTTGTTGTGTTCTAGAGCTTGTAAAAAGTTTTAGTAGTGGTTTGTGAATTTGAGGCCGCACTCAATAGAGTGTGCCTTGTCGGGCAGCCAGGAAGGTAGTGGAAGTGGCACAATCCAAACCTCGCGTTCAAGTTATGCTTTCCTGAAACACGAGTCAACGGCGATGGCTAGCGTGACGCCAGTCGCCGCACGGACTGCCTTTACTTGTCCTAGATGGCGCGGGGTTTCACCCTACTGCAGCCATGAGTGGAGACGTATTTAGCTTTTGAACGAGGGACGGCCCGAGAGGATCATAGTTTGACGATTGCGGCCTTGTTCTGAGAGATTGCGTACTGATTTGATAGTAGGCGTAGTTCAAGGACAGGACAGTCTGCGTCAGCGAAAAGTAAAGCTTTACGACCGCAGTCCATTTCTATCAGCCAATCCCACGCGTGCCCGCTCGCAGGCTCAGCCGCACCAGGCTAAAGGCAAGTATAATAACACTGCCCCAGCACGCCCGATCTTCTGCGTTTTTTTCTTCCTTCTCGAAAACATGTCCTTTATCTTCTTCAACGCCCCTTCGAAGAGGCAGGCCGAGCGAGAGCCACGTGCCACCCTAAGAAAGCGCATCCAACGTTGCCATGCCGTCAAAATGGAAGCTATCCCAACAGTTGGCTCGGGCGCTCCCATCCAAGTCGGCGAAGAGGGGAACAGACGTAGCCCAGACCGAGTCGGAGACCCTCGATCGCCCTCAGTCAACCGCATCCACGTCCGATAGAGCATACGGTCTGAATATCATCTGCCAAGGCTCGAGCCCAGTCGTGGAGTAAGCAAACCCCTCGAGGTCCATTAGACTTAGTCCACTGACCCCATCTGACACCAACCAGCATTGTTGCTGTGCATGGCCTCAATGGTCACCGAGAAAAGATATGGACAGCTTTCAACGGCGTTAATTGGCTCCGCGATCTTCTCCCCACCGATATCCCACACGCGCGCATTATGAGTTGGGGCTACGACGCGAACACCTATGACAGCTCGCGCGTGAGCTGCCAATATCTATACGACTACGCGCGCAGCCTTGTGTCGGACCTGCATTGAAAGCGTACTTTGACAGATGTGAGGCATAATTGGATACAGCTTGGTCCTGGACGAGTCTTCCGGCTGACTACAGCCAGTCATTACAACGTCCGATTATATTCATCGCGCATAGCCTTGGTGGGATTATAGTCAAAAGCGTGAGTATTACCATATGGTTTGGGTTGATGTTGCTAAAATAGGCAGGCTTTAATTCACTTTAATGCCGCGCAACAAAATGCACTGATAGAGGATCGGTCAATCAGACTGTTTACGTTCGGCATTATATTTATGGGCACGCCGCACCAAGGTGGCAACGGTATCTAGCTTGAATAGCTACTGCTCAACATTTCTTTGCTGTTTATTACGGCAAATGACCATATTTTACGTTACCTCGAGCGAGACTTGGAGTGGCTGCAGCAATAGCTTGGGCAATATGGGCCTATCAGCACGGCCTTTATGACGAAATTTGCCTATAAGGAATACCCAACCCCTACGGCGTTAGGCCGCTCTATAATGGTGGGTAACCCCTAAGCGTGACAAATGCCTTTTCTTAATTTATCTTAGGTCGTACCTCGAGCGTCGGCCGTTGTGCCAGGGCAGGCGGATGCTGAGCCGATTGTTATTCACGCTAACCATCGCGACATGGTTAAATTTGACTCGCAGGAGGATGTGGGGTATGAAACTGTATCGGAACACATCCAAATTATGATAAAATCAGCTCCTGAAAAGATCCAGTCACGATGGGAGGAAGAGGAGAGGGTTGAGCAAGGTTAGCTAGAGCACTATTAATACCTTGTTTATCAATACCTAACCATTATTTCTTGTAGCTCGAGATAAAAGTCTCTCCAATAGTTTTGCTCTTCCTCTTAACCTCTCCGAAGTCACGGAAATACAGACCTTTGTTGGAAGAACAGAAGAGCTTAAGAGGCTCCACCAGATCCTAGAAAAGCGGAGTGGCCGCCGTACCGCCATTGTACATGGCCTAGGCGGTATGGGAAAGACTCAGCTGGCTGTTGAGTATTTGAAGACCTACAAGTCCGCATACACTGCGATGGTTTGGCTGAACGCGAGAGATGAGGAAACGTTGCGACAGAGCTTTGCACGCGTGGCTAAATGGATCACGCGACAGCACCCTCAGGCCACCTACGTCCGATCGGCTGTTGATGGACAAGATCTGAATGACATCATAGAAGCAGTGAAGCGATGGTTTGATCAGCCGAAAAATGATGGCTGGCTCCTTGTCTATGACAACTATGACGACCCCAAGTTGAACAAAACGCACCAGAGAGACGAAACCACCAAGAGCGCGACAGGACACGGACTTGGAGCCGGGATTGTAACAGAAATGTCGGGCAAGGCGTATGATATTCGACCCTACTTTCCTAACTCCTACCAGGGAGCAATTCTCGTCACCACCAGATCATCCACAGTGAAGCTCGGGGAAAGCATCCGGTTAGACAAATTAGGAAAAGACGATGGCCTACGAATTCTTGCTTCGACCTCGGGTCGAAGCAACCTACAGGATGGTAAGTTCTTCAGTGCCATAAAGACAGCCCACTCTGCTAACTCCTGTATTTAGACAAGGCTGCAGTTGAAGTAGCTAAAATACTTGATGGGCTCCCCCTTGCACTCTCAACCGCTGGCGCTTATTTGTGTGAGGTCCCGACGACCTGGACGAAGTACCTTACGCTTTACCAGGAATCGTGGCTACGGTTACAGCAGGCAACCCCACAGCTTCTGGAATACGAGTATGCCATGTACTCGACCTGGAACATCTCATTTACGCACATTGAAGAACAAGACTCTACAGCCGCCAAGCTGCTTACGTTATGGGCGTATTTTGATAAGGACGACCTATGGTACGAGCTGTTACGCAAAACACACCCTGCTATCCCTGGATGGTTGCAAGATGTTACTGAGGACCAAATCACTTTTGAGCAGTCTATGCGAGTGCTCTGCCAGCACGGATTAGTAGATGCTGATCCAGCAACACGAGAATGCGGAACGCAATCGCGTGGGTACAGCGTGCATGGGTGTGTGCATTCATGGATACAACACGTACTCAATCACCCACCTAATCTACAACTGGCGAGAACAGCTATACTATGTGTAGCTGAGCACGTACCTGACACGACAGAGCCTGAGTTCTGGTGGGTGCAACGACGTCTGCTCCAACATTCAGATCATAGTCTACGACTGGTTGAAAGCAAGGATAATGTGGAAGATGAAGCATGGATTTTTGGGAGTTTAGCCAATCTCTACTACTACCAAGGCCGCCTAGGGGAGGCAGAGGCCATGTACCAACGGGCGCTTCAAGGGTACCAGAAAGCCCTAGGAGATAATTCGGTTAGAACATATCCTCCTGCGCTAATTACCCTAGAGAACATCGGAGACCTATTACGAGAGCAGGGTAAGGCCGAAGCTGCAAGAGGATACTATACTCGTGCTGAGTATGGTGTGGCAATTGTTCACGGGGCAGGCAGCTCACGCCATGCAGACATCGTTGCGAAGCTTCAGTCCGTTGGTTAAAACTGCTCCGTTGTCTACAATCTTCTCTTCCTGCTCTTTCCCGTAGTCTGCACAGCAGTCATCTTGTCCAACTACACTATAGCAGAATAGATCAATCGGTAGCTTATTTGTATTAAAGTGTTTCACTTGCTGTAGTATTCTATAAAGCTTTGGATGCAACCGGAGCGGTAGCTGCCGTCTCGGACTGACTATCCTTAGGTATTGTACACCAGATGGCGTGAGCGAGATACCGACGGTTTATAAAGGTCCTGGCTGTTGAGGTCGGCATGCCGCTCCTTTGCGCTGCGTTGCACCACCTCCCTTGGCCAGCAAGCTGACGCCAGGGCCTTCTAACACAGGATGTGATCGCGGGAGCATTGCATTTGTCAAGTCGGTATGAACAGAGCCATCTTATCTCTATACAGGCCACATCTGTCAACAATGTGCTCGCGCAGCAGCTTTAGCACAGGGGACGTGATGGTTAGATCTCGGCCGGCTTCGTTCGGGGCAGGGTTTTCGGGTAGCCCCACAACATCAAGGCTTTGATCGTGGCCTCCGGGAGCCAAGGAGGCTACACTGGGCCAGCCGGCTCTTTCGGGTTAAGGGCACAGGGCACGGATCCAGACACCTCGCTTCAGAGGAGGACATATGAGTCTTTGGAGGTTTCCGCATCATCAGAAGACCCAGTGGAATGCATATTCCACTGGCAAATCAAATATGCATCGCAGGCTCAACGTTGATATATTCTGCTGCAATTGTAGATAAGCAACCCTGCAATCCAGACAATTCCATGGCCTTCTCTGTGCTTACTAGCAGCGCTAACTAGCTGGTGGCCAGACACTAATGTTGGTTCGAAAATGTACATGTACTGTACCTCATCAAATCAGCCTAGGTAAATCAGCAACTTGGTCGCACTGTAGCTTCGGACAATTATAATTGGCCGAGGGCTCTGTACTTGTATAGACCTTATACAACTTTACAAGGTTGGCTTCTGCAGCCATTTGTAGATGACTAAGATCTCGCCAAGGTAGACCGATGTAACTTAAAGTCCTCCCAAAGTTCAAAAGAATAACACATTGTTTTGCTAAGAGGAAGCTACTTATACTCACAACTATAACAAAAATCCACAATTAGTATCAACTCTACTAAATATATAACCTTCACGCTTTAAATTAAGCCAGTAAAGAAAATATACCAAATCCTGCTCGTCAAAATTCCCTAAACAAACAGTATCTAATTATATTACAATCCATAAAGCCAACTATTATAAATTCGCTTTATCTAAAGGGCAAAACTAGCCTTTTAAATGCCATTAATATGCTAAAATGCCAGGAAATCAGCTATTACATATCTCTTTCTTAGCTAATTATATATAATAATTAATTTTCTAATAAAAGCTTGGTTTTAAAAGCCATTTCCAGCATTCCCTTCCCAATAAAAAATAATATATACATATAATTTACAATAAAGGTTATTTTTCATTAGGCACCCACAACTAAAATCTTGATAATAATTATACTAAGCCAAAATAGAATAAATTTAAAATGTTAATCCTTAAAAAATTTTTTATAAGCCGTTAAAAACTCTTAAGAAATTACCTGCCTTAATTAAAAAAATAAAGTTAGCAATAAAACTAGCAAAAATAATTAAAGCCTTTATAAAAAATATTCTTTAAATTAAAATCTTTAAATTCAAGCATCCCCATCTTATAATTATCGCCCTACTAGAGCTTATATATATAAAAAATAAATTACAAATAGCCATAAATATAAATATGATATAGAAGATGGTAAGGTCCTATATGGCAAACAGGCACATAGGGAGCTCCCAAGTTGTTAACTATATTAAAGGGTGATGTGTAATCCTTTCCAAGGGCCTTCTCCGTCCTTTTAGTGCTCTCTTATACATTGCCTCAGCTTCTGGAAGCTTGCACTAGTTTGCGTAAAGCTTCCAAGTTGTTGACCGTGTTCGTGGAGAAGGGGGCAACAATGATGGCCTATTGAAGGATGCCTCATTTTGGGTGAAGCATTCGGGGCCAATTGAGAACGGATTGACTAGGACGAGGGCGGGTGGCGGCCCATTGGACAGTCATGATGCTACAGGCTAAGGAACTCAAGCAGGTAGGACGACCTGAGAAGCGGATGATGAGGTGTTGATGATTCAGCGGGCTGGAGAAACAATTTGGATGGGGCCGGGGAGAACAGAACGCGAAGGCCATGATAACACGTAATGATAAGCCACAGTTTGAATCACAGTACAAATAGGAAACTGCACCGTCTTGCCGTGGCCAAAATTGGCTCATCCGTTTGTCTTTGATCCGAAGTTAAGCCGGTTGAGAAGTTAGGCAGACAACACTGCCTGACCCCGCCATCAAGTGCCTACGGGGTTGCGTCGTGGCATCTGATCCTGAGTGCCTGGGCCATCGGAACGGGTCCCTAGGGTGGTTCATAACAAGTGTATATAAATATATGTACAGTACAGTATCAAGCTGTCTTATAGAGTTATCATGATTGCCTGCCTGCTGCCTCCGATAATATGCTCTTTAATTTCCAAGCACTTCTTTTGCTCTGTTCGTATCTGCGTCAAAAATATCCGGGGCTTTTAATTATCAGCCCAGCCACCTCTTCCTATACCTTATGAGGTATAATCTTTTATAATCTAATCACAGGTATTGTACGTTTGAGTAATGCTGTTACACCGGCAGGCGACTTTTCAAGGGCATCGGTAAGTCTCGGGAGGACGTGTCCTCGGATAGGTTTCTCAAGTTGGGCCAGGATAGCTCGTGACTTTCGGGGACTGGTCGTGGAAACACGGCACAGGAAGTACAAGCACCCGCTCCTCGGGACTCCAGTGCCGCACTCTACATCGCACAACATGCAATGGCCAACTATATTCGCATGTTCGAGATTCCGTGGCTCACTGGCCACGCTATAGAAGGCGAGATGGTGTTTCCCGGTTGAGGGTACCTCTCGCTTGCCGTTGAGGGTACCTCTCGCTTGCCGTCGAGGCGGCAGTGTGGTATTCCACCAACGTGGCCAAAATGATCTCAAGGTGCGGTTCAAAGACATCGATGTCAAGTCCGCCATGACGCTGCGCGACAACGAAGTTGGCATGGAGACGATACTGAGCGTACAACCTGAGATGACTTCTGCCAAGAGCTTTAGTGACGACTGGCTTGAATTCCACATCAGTAGCTTCGATGTGGACGGCCGCTACTCGGAGCATTGTCACGGTTGGATCACCATTATCCAGTGAACCCGGTTCAGTGGAGCTGGACGGCTCGCTGCCGCGCTACCCTCCATTGAAGAGCTGAAAAAAGCCACTACCAACAGACCTAAGAACTTGAGAACCACAATAGTCGAATTTCTGCATCAGAGCTGGCTTACGCTTGACAGAGCCGTCGCTTCCATGCTCTGATGTGACACTGCTCTCTAGAGCACACTAATACCCTCAATACTAATTCCGTAGACCGACATTCACAAATCCTAATTGTCCTCGACGCCCCAGCTACAATTCCCCACCTTGCATCCCTCGCACAACTCGCTGCGGTGTGGCTCGTCTCCTTTTTTTCCCTCGGAGAAAGGTGGCTTTGCCATGGGGATATCGGCCCATTTCTTGAGACGGTAAGAGACACGCTCAATGTACGTCTTCTGATTCAGCTTCATTACACCGAGCTTCTGGCAGCTCTCGCAGCGCTGGCCATAGACAACGGCGTTATACCGGTTTCTAGCATAGCTCCGGATGACGAGGGACACCTTTTTACTAGTCCAGACATGGGGGTCCCCATTGTGGTTGTTGCAAGTGAATTTGGCCATGATTGACGTTGAGTATTCTTCGCGAGGAATGAGATTTTCATTATGCTCGAATTCGGGGCAGGGACTGATCTCCAATGCAGCGGCGACAATAGCTTCATGAAGCTGTGGGAACATGAAGGAAGTCGCTGCCTTGGGCTGGATTCTTGCCTACAATGAAATTTAGTCTACGCAACCAGCTCAAAGAGCAAATGATGAGATGGGAGAAAGTACTTCTTGGTTCATACTCATGGAATGGTGCTCTTCGGAGTGGGTTCGTATGAAGCTGTTGCTTGATTCTGCATTGGCCAGTCGCTGGACTTGACTATGGCGTAGGGAATCTTGTCGATGAATGCGAGCCATCAGAACCATCGAGGGTCTGGTAATGGGCCTTGCAACTAGGCGAGGTGCCCAGCTCGATACATGAATCCCGCGTGTGCCTTGTCTAGGCCTTCCTCTTGCCAGAAGCAAGGTCGCCCAACGTGGCATCGTGGACAGCTTGAAGGAAAAAATGAAGGTTAAAGGACAGGAACGGAGGCCGCAACAGCAGCCGAAATCATAATCATCCCTTGAAGGGCCGGGATGACAACCAATTTGCCACGCACCTGCGAAGCCGCTTATGCAGTCAAATCTTATAATATGATTGGCTGGATTCAGCTCCTGTTAGCACTAGCAGAAACATGTTCGACATGCATACAACGTTAGCTCATTGCAAGGGAGGACATAAATTCGATTGCCGGAACCACAAATCTTCTCCGTTCAGGCGCCGATCCATTCTGTGGCTAGGGCCAGCCACTGATCTTCACCGGGCTGGGACGAGATGGCTGGAGCTAACCGGACGAATGTGGAAGTCCGATGCAAGGGATTCTGGACTCCTGGTAGAGAGATCAACGACTCCTAAGTTCGATTGGGGTCCAGCCGGCCTACCGTGTTCTGCATGACATACCTACCTATCCCCAGCAACTTGTCATCTGGACTCTATCTACTAATTGCTGCACACCTCAAAAGCGTTGAATCGCAATTCTTGACACTCAGATTTTCTTTTCTTCTCCTTGCACTCTATCAAATGGTCTCAATATTTTGGTTCAAGCCGACCTGTTCTCACAGTACGATTGCCATTGTTTGTCGAGTGGGCAATCTTAAATGCTTCAATTGCACTCTCTAGCGACAATCACTATAATTCCACCCACCAAGATCAATCAATCATCTTTTTCCTTAATACCTAATGTGCTAGGGTAAAGTATAGTACAAGGCTGGTTAACCTTAGGATATATATATTAAGTTCCCTGCTATAAAACCGCTTATAAATCTATAATATTTTAAGTAATTAATATATACCATTAATACTAAAAGAGTAAATAGAAATAGCATAATTATGGGGATTTATAAGCTAAGTTCTTTCTTAAAAACTTAATTTTTAAGCTTTTATTTCTTAAAATATTATATAACTATAATCTTGCTTTTCCTATAATATATTTTAGTATATATAATTTGGCATTATATCTTTTTCTTACTATTTTTTTTAAATTATAATATTAATAATAATACTTATATAATTTCAATTAAAGGCCTTAAATAGCCTCTATTTGCAAAACCAAATAAACCTTATAAACTTTATTAATAATCTTTAATTCTAAAAAATTAACTATTTTATGTCCCTTTTATAAATTATAATTTGTAATAATTAATTATTAAAAAAAAGCTTTATTTTAAAAGCCATATTTAGTATTTTTTTTCTTATAAAAAGCAACCTTTATACGCACTTTCCTACTAAGCTTGTTCTATATAGGGCGTCTTATATTAGTGCTTGCATTTCTATTATCCCACATTCTTCTAAAAGCAAATTTAAAAAGGCTATATTTACTAGCTTTAAAAAAAAATTAAAAAATTTTAAAAAATTCTTAGCTTTTATAAATATTACTAAGTTCATTATAGGTATTTTAATATATAAAAAGATATTTATAAAAAATCTACTTTATGTAAAAATATTTAGGCCAAATTGTTCTTACCTTATAATTATTAATTTTTTAGGCCTTATTTACTTTTAAATTAAGCAATAAATAGTATTAAACGTCTAGCTAATTTAAAAGGTTATTAAATTTTGTATAAAAAAACCTTAAAATATTATTTTTATTATTATTTTTACTAAAAACAATTTTATAAACTAAATTATTTTAAAGCTAGCTTATTTGGTAAATACTATTAGTAGCTATACTCTTAGCATTATTATAAAGCTAAATACTTTATACCTTTTATTAAAAAGTAAGGCACTTTATATATCCTTTATAATAAATTAGTAAATTAAATTTTAATTTAATTAGCATATATTAAAAAATATAAATTTAAAAACTAAAATTATATTTTTAAATTAATATAATATTTTAGAAATAAAATTCTTTAACTAGGAAATTTAGTTAGGGCTTCTTTATATTATATTTAAAATTAATTAATTATATAAGCGGTTAAATAAAGTTTTTTTAAATTATATTATATTAAAGCTACCTAGCTTAGTTAATAAGATTAAGTTAAAGCACTAAATTTATTATAAAAAATTAATTAAATTTAATTACTTGCATTTTAGCACATATAATTAAAAACTTTTTTTACTTAAAATTTTAAAATTATTTTAATATTTAATTAAAAGTACAATTAATAGTAATTAAAATAACCTTTTTCTAAAATAGCAAATTTAATAATAGCTATTAATAATGGCTATATACTATTATTTAAAATAATAATAAGATTTTCATAAATATGCTTTTAAAAAGTGGTTACTACTATTATATTAATAATTTAAGCATAATTTTTTTAAAATTAGTTATAAATATTACTATTATATAAAATAAGTTTATTAAGTATATAAAAGCTAAAATATATAGGTCTTAAAGTAAAGAGCTCTTTAAGTTATTTAATTTAATAATTATTACTAATTTATTTTATAAATAGGCTAGCCTATAAAAGAAATTGGCCTATAATTATATTAAATTTATATAAAAGTATATAAAATTTTTATTTATAATATAATTACGTATATTTCCAATCTTAAAACCTTAATAGCTATTTTTAAAAATTATTAATTTTATAATAAATAATATTTTAATATTTATTAAAACTAAAATAAATAACTTATTAAAAACTTATTAAAAGTTTACTTTATAATTTATAATTATAATTTTATAAAAGCCATTTAAAAAGTTTAAACTAATATAAGGCAAAAAGAGTATGCTTTTATTATAAAGTAATTTTTTAATCTTTTTACTTTTAAGCCATATAACTTAGAGAATATAAACCTATTAAATTTTATTAATATTATAATAGGAAGTACCATAAAGCTAAATATAAACTAATTTACTATTTTAAAAGTTTTAGATTTTATAAATATATATTATAAGGTGTAAAATCCCAAATAGTAGAGATAAATGAAAACTAATAGGAATATTTATTTATAAGTTGCTAAAAAGTAGTTTATTAATAATATTATAGTAAAAGCCATAAAAATTAGCCTTATATTAGTACTAATAAACATATTATTACTAATTTTTATATATAAAATAAAAGATAAACTTATTACTAATATTATTAATAAATTTAAAAAAAATTAATTATATAAGGCCTAGCTTAATAAGTAATTTAAGGTTTTTAATAAAGGAGCTAAAATTTATAAGTAATTTACATTTACTAAAATTATTAGTAAAATTATAGCCCCCTAACCAATTTAATAGCTATTAACTATATTTAGCGTATAATATATCAATCTTAAATTAAATATTATATAATCCATTCATTAAAATGAAAGATAGCAATTTGCAATAGGAAGACGCGAATTTACAAATTTCAAAGACTATCACATTTAATGGTCCATGCAAAGAATCATTTCCTGTCAATGAACTAATAACCATTAAAGAATCCTCTCATATTAATGTAGTATGTGGAATGGAACCTAAAAGCATATATAAACCAGCACCAAATACAGCTTAAAACAAGGTTGGTTATAATTAGTCTAGCCATTACTATTTAAAGAAAAAGAAAGCAAAGAAGTAATTCGCTTAGATATAGGTTTTAAAATAAAATGCACTTTCATCTACAGTAAAACCACTTCTTTTAGCGCACAAATTCGTCCTTTTAGAACAAAATCACTGTTACAACATTTGCCTATTGCCCCTAATGCAGTAAGGTCTTACACCGTAACCGGAGCATTACTTAACACTAAGCCTTCCTTAGCTGTTGCCTAGCATTTTCGTATCTCCCGGTCAGATGTAAGCCCGTTTACCGAGCGTCAATCATAGACCCTTGTCGTTCGCGTCCAGCCAAAACAAATCATTTGCGTCTCCCGCTTATAAACTGATTCACGCGTGCCTTCACGCACATGATTCACGGGCAATCAATCATTTGAAATTTTGCCCAATCAACACGAGGAATTAATACCAAATTATACTCATCTTGTACGAAACCCTGACACGTCTGCAATTCACGACCGCCCGAAGTACTTCGCGCGACGCCAACCAACGTCCTCGTTCCCGCGACATCAGCATCGTCGACGTCTTCAGAGACTTCGCGACTCTTCACCTCATTTCTCTCACCATGGCTCCACAACAGATCAGTTTCTTCGAATCTATAAATGAAAAGTTGCGGTTCAACGTGCTCATCCTCCTGTCGTCGCCGTACGACATCCTGTCAACAATTCGAGCCAGTCCGTCGGCCTTAAAGGCATTCACCACTGACCGGGAGTTAGTCTACGCTTCTGTGATCGAGACAGCCCTCGGCCCAGAAGTGTTTCGTGTGCTCCTTGCGATCTTGAGTGCGCCCGATCATAAAAGCTGGTACGCTGCTCTTTTCAGTCCATCCGAGCGCGTCGTGACGAATGAGAAAATGATATTTGTCGAGTCAGCGCACATGTAGGACTCCAGATGAAATGAACGATTCGAATCTCGACGAATGGCGATCATGGGAACTGAATGTGCGTTCTTTCCTAGAAGAACACGCTGCCGGCGCCACTCATTCGATCTCCAGCCCCGCACGGACGTCGACAAATTCAGAACACAAATCGAATGCATGACCCGTTTATATTTCTGCCTCGTAAAGTTTGTTGATTTCTATCCCGCATACAGGACAGGCCGAAATGAGCGTCCGCCTATGCTTGTTTGTAAAAGAAAGAGTAAGCGCTAAACCTCATGCGCCACCTGTGGCTTGAACTGTGTGTAGACAGTGAGCCACATGTAGCATAGACTAATCGCCTTTGGGCTAATCTCTTGGACTTGCAGAAATTAAACGGCTGATTTCGGGTATCCTGGCATCCCCCGCAACTAGACTTTCTCTTTCCTCGCCTTCCTATCAATTCTCTCGCCATTACACAGCTGAGTGTATGGCCGTGTGAAACACTTTCGTGGCACCACGACTACAATCGGGAGCATAAGTAGTTTCTTCTAGGGAGATCAATCTCATTCTTCTTAAGAGGACTTAAAGTCACCAGCGGATAACAGCCAGTCTCACATCACAATAATGGCAAACCGGTTCCACCTTATTCCCAAGTTTGCGCAGGCGGCCGTGCAGTTTTGGAACAACACCGATGTATATGTGCGCTGCCCGTATTGCGAAACGACTCATCACCACGGATTCGATGGCAATTACCTGCGCAAGCATTGCCGCGTTCCTCACTGCGGCCATGTCGAAGGGGACTACCAATTTCATTTCCCTCTAAACGATGGTACAGCTAATCTTAGCTACGACATCGACAAGCAGCGAATTCTCTTTGTAGCCGCCGGCTCAGATCCGGCTGAATACTTCCTGAACTTGCATGGACAGGCCGACGGTCCTGTTTCTCAGCAGGATACGAGCACCAAAAGAAAGTGGACCGAGGCGACTGAAACAATCTTGATCGGCGATGATAACCTCAAATGTGAAATTCCGAAGATAAAAATGGTGGTGGCCGAGATGGTCCAGGGAAATATCGGATATGTTCGCCAGTACCTCGACTGTTCCCCCGAGGCTGAGATCTTCCTTCATGGGGTTAAGGCATACAAGGTTGCTACTCCCAACGGTAGCGATGGATCTGATTACAACCATCAGGACACAAATAGCGATGCCACAAGCGTCGAAGAAGATGTGGAAGTGACGGGCGAGACATGCCTACATTTAGCCGCTTGCGAGCAGCACCAACACATCCTCGAGTTGCTCCTCCAACGAGGCGCCAACCCGAATGCGATCGCCCTCAATGGAAGATTCCCATTGGCAGAGGCGGCCATTTGGGGTCGACTAGAGAATGTCAAGCTTCTGCTTCAGTACGGCGCTGACAAGCATCTCGAATGTCTGCGCAGTGGGAAACGGCTTCGAGCTATTGATTTTGCTCGACCACTGACAGAGAATATCGAGGAGCGACACCTCCGGTCGGGGGGTGTCTACAATGAACGCACATACGACAGGGACAAGGATCGCAAGGCTATAGTCCGCTGTTTGTCAGATGAGGATGAGGAATCGCGCGACGAGAGATACAGCCTCAGAGGATTTGCATTCACCACGTCGCCCACCAGCGAGAGCCTTCTAACTCTTATCGCCTACTTTGACGTACCCAAGAAGTGGAAGACAATTGGCGTTCTGCTTCGTGGGGGCGGACACCCTCCTGTTGCGGCCATGAGCGGATGGGGCCACGGCGCAGACCAGAATATCAACGTCCAGATTGAAGGGAAAGAGTGGACAAACCAAGTTCAGGATCTCAGTCGATATGTTGGGCATCACTTGAAACCAGATGATCGACGTGACAATGGATGCATTGGACAATTTCATGCATGCCACGCCGAGAAGCAGCTGATCGCATTCTTCGTGCATAAGCACCTGTTCCTGCCTCACGAAATTGATGCAGAGATGGAATTGTATGACCCCGAGCTGAGCATCGGAGACCTTCCAGACGAGCGATTTGAAGAGCTGATGAAAAAGCATGAGCTCAAAAGGCAGCTTTCGAAACTCGCAGCTGCCATCCCCCCTAACTCCTTGAAAACTGCTACAATCCTTACTTCTCGGCCTTGCTGTGACGATTGTAGGGAATTTGTCAAACGAACAAACTCTAAGCTTGGGATCAACATTGACCTCGTTGGATCGACACTGCCTTGAGCTGGAGGGCGAAGTTATATGTTTCAATCTTTCAGTTGAGTGTTATAAAGTCGGCGTTTTGAAAACGGCGAGGTAGATCTGTTTGCAGTAGGTAGTACCTTTATGATCGCGTGCAAATTTGGATTTCATACTGTACGCACAGCCACGCTTAGTCCCAAATAAGCCAGTGATTTATTTTTTCCGTCATAAAAAGCGGACACTCGTTTCGGCCCACGCTGTACTCTGAAGATGGTGTCCTGGCTTTTGGAAGGAGGAAAAGATGTACAGAGAGTGGCTCAATTGTGGTTAGTCTACCCGCGGCTCACAGTGAATAGACTGTAGAAGCCACGTGTGGCGCATGCGGTTAGTGCTTACTCTTTTTTTTTACAAACAAACTTAGGCGGACACTCGTTTCGGTCTAGCCCGTATCACAGTGTTGATCAGTTTTGAGATGAGGTAGGCGTTTAAAAATGGCAGGGTAGCTTGGTTTGCAGCAGGTGGTACATTTATGAACGCGTGCAGACTTGGATTTTATACTGTGCGCACAGCCACACTTAGTCCCAAATAAGCTAATATTTAATTTTTACACATCACAACAAAGGGACACTCGTTTCGGCCGACCCTGTACTTCATATCTAGATGCATGTGGTTTCAGCTCCTTCTACTATAGTGACTAGAACTTGAGGAGGGAAATGCACGCCCTAGCAGTTATTAGACAGTGAGGAAATCAGTAGCGCAAGGAGAGATCGTACAATTTCATCTGCCAGCAGGGGCGAGATGCCCTTCCTAGACCGGCAGACGTAGCCCCGGCCCTTCCTGCTTAGCGAGACGTGGAATTCGGTGCCGTAATCGTAGTGAAGCTTGCTCAATGTTCTGACAAGAGTGTGCCATCTTTTTTTAAAATTCTCACCGCTCCTGTCCCTCTTTCTTGGCTGTCTTCTCTTACAGCCATCTTGAGATCTGGCTATTTCTGTACCAGATGCCTTCTTAGCAGAGCGAGGCTTTTCCAATGATTGATCGTCAGTGATATCCATCTTGGGGGATAGCTCCTTATTCAACTTCTGTGCTGCTGAATGTTAATAAGTATAAAAAAATGATATTTGTGAAATAAATAACAATAGGTAGTTATACCTGGTTTCAACCAGTGTGCAAGGGTTTTTGAATATAAGTAGAGTGACTAGGTATATGTAGCGGCAGTGCAGCGGAAAAGTAGTATAGTGGTAGATATAACTGAACTTAGCCCTCTCCATCTCTTCTTCCGTTTGCCCTACTTCCCTCCTTTTATAATTAGCCCTTTTTCAGGTTTCGATCTCTCCTTATATTATCGCTGCTCCTCTGTAGCGTGTAAGGGCTCCCGGCCCGGTCCCTATCAACGAGGCTATCGACGAGGCTCCGCTGTGGAACCTCAGTGCTGGGGCTTTTGCCGGAGCGGCACGACAGGCCCTGACACAGTGTCACCATGCGTGAGAAGCTATCTTTGGAACACTTGAGCTGAAGTCTGCGCTGGGGCCTACACTCCCGGGGCCGGGATGACGTTGGAGTAACCAGGAACCCGGACGCAGGACTGATCTATGATTCTCTAGCTCCTCAAATCCCGGTTCAAGGTTGTTATTTTTTTGATCCGGTCTGGGCTCTTCTTTCCTATCCTGACATTTAAATCAGGCGTTGGCCCGGGAGTGAGAGCAGGTACGGAGGCAAGATAAATACACTCGCGTTCAAAGAACATAAGTCTTTTCCGTCTGAGATATTTCAGAGCCCACTATTTCCGATGTCGCAAGCACGTCAACGCATGATTATCAAGTCGAGCGAGGCTCCCATCATCTGCAACCTGTTAGCTGCATCCGCACAGTGGATTGTTCTTGCTGGGTTTTTTATTCTCCCAGGCACCTTCACCTCCCTTAAAGAGCATTCACAGATTATAGATGGCTCACGGGTTGCAAGTACAGTTGTGAATATTCCTCTAATACCACTTGCGGTTATCCTCTATATTATAGGCATTACTGGGCTAGCTTTATTCTGGTTTATATTCAGATTTAATTATATATGGCTACTTACTCATATATTCTAGTAAGTTAAATTAAACCTTTAAATGTATTAAGTACTAATATATACTGATTTATAGCCCGGGTATCTTCAACTGTTTAAGCGGCTTTGTTAATATTATTATAAACGTATACACTGCTTAAAATGGCACGTGGTCACCAACAGCTTGGTTTACTTTAGGGATTGTTTTATTTTCACTTTCCAACTTTATAATTATGTCTCTCCTTTATAAGCTCTGGTTGGATCGACTGGTTTAATTAAGTAAATAAATATAATTTATTACAGAATTTAAATTGTTAAGTTATGGTATAGCAGTCCCAAGTCCTCTATGTTATCTACTTCATCGCTGCTGCTTGTCCTCCTCACATATGTACTGAAAAGAGCAGAGTAAGTTTGGTAAGAGGTCCGTTGCAAAATGGCAAGGGTGGGGAGAATACGTTTAACAACAGACCCGCCTATCATGATAGGGCTATCACTGAGTACCTCGGAAGCAAGCCGTCTATAATATGTCCTTGAAGTGAGCAGTAACAAACGTATAATTATAAACCCCTCCGTATTCACGTGGAAGCCCTGGAAAAACCGCTTGGGAAAACCAGAACTGAGGGCAAACAGAATTGCAGGCTTTGCACGCCCAGAATCTTTCTTCCGCCCTCCGCCAATTCTCTGCTTTGATCCATCATCATCATTCAAGAGACGCCACTGGAGCATTGCTCCCCTATTTCTAAGACCCACAATTATCACCATTGTAATCAATGCAGCACTGATATGATTTGACAGAAATTTGACCCCCAAGCTGTGCAGTGTTTGTAGAATATCCAGAAAGGATCATATGACCACCTTCACGAGGCTCAAGTGAACATACAACAAGTCCCAGATCAAAGATACTTTGAACGTCCAATTGTGTGTCAATGCCCAGATACCCACTGATAAACCCTGACATGGTTGAAACGCTGTCTTGATCAAGCGAGTTTCCAGTGGGGTCTACAAAGGTATTGAGAACAATATTGGCTGAGACTGCTTCTGAAGGAATAAACTGCCCTGAAAGTCGTTAGCTGATGCTCCTTTTCCCAATTTGGTTTCATTTACTCACCATCAGTCTTGAGAGGCTGTGCTGGAACCTGATAGGAGCAATCATTGTCAAACAAAGGCACATTGAAAACCTGGACAAGAGGCGGGCTGTCATTATTCACCCTGACCACAACTTGAATATTGGGAAGAGTAACAGAGCAAGCCATAGCTGCTTGGAATAATCGTAGAAAGAAAAGAAAGATAGTCATAGTGTATTTAATAATCAGGTGTAGTCAGCGTTGTTTATTATCACGTACTGTCAGATACCATAATGCCTTTTTTGGGCTCGGGTTTAGGGGCCTGGATGGCACATATTATATAGAGACTGGATTCAAGCCTTGAATTGGGGCAACAATGCCAGGTTCTGGAAATCACCTCAGCACACTCTAGGGAGACTCACATACTTCTATTTATAGCTTAATTCTGCAAAATAATTAGACATACACATAATGCTCTGAAGCCCTCAACATGTTTCTCTGATTTAAAATAATATTTTTATTAATAGTAACAGTAAGTATTTTGTAGCCCATTTTTCGTAAGCCAAATCAAGGCTAGAAAGCAGATGATAGATATTGTATAGGACCGCTTTAATGAACTATAGATCCCTTTCTACCACGGCTGTGATCCAAGGCTATAATGATGTCGCTCATTTCCACTAATCACTTGAGCACTATATCGGCCGCTTTCAGAAAGCGGCATGCGTTGCTCTGTCTGCCCGCTGGGTAGGGGGGAATAATCGCTGTTTGCCAAGGGGACATCGATATTACGAGGGCTGCGGCCTTCCATAGTCTGCATATTGTCTGGATTTGGACTGGATGTCAGCCCTCGAGCTGGTTTAGAAGAGGGGAGAAGCTCCGCACCGTCAATCCGCAAGGATGGGCTCTGCAAGACAGTTAGTAGAATAACTCGAGACGTGCTAGAAGCAATGTAGGATTATTCAATTGGCTTACTAAATCTGGGGAATTGGAGTTAGAACTGAGGATATCAACCCCCCCAGGACCATATACATGCTTGGCCGGGGGCGTGTCCCCAAGTGCAGGGTTATTGGATCTTAGAGCTCGTGAATAGCTAACGGGTGGCTCAGCTTGTCGTTGGGTATACATTGGCTTATTGACTGTATTGATGTTGACGGGTGGCCTTGCTTCGCCTAGGGCCGTACCGGCGATATTGATAACTCTAATGGGCCAGGCATTGGGAGTCTGGAAGGAATAGAATTTGCCCTCTATCTGAAAAATGAAGTAGATGTTTCCATCTGGGCATATTTCGAATAGTCTTACATATTCCCTCTGAATATAGAAGGCCTGTTGCTTAATGATCTGACTGTCTTCTGAGGATACTTGCGACATTGTGTGCAGTTTGAGCTGTGTTGTGAAATGGATGGTGGAGATTACAGGGCATGGATTTCATCCGGGCTTGTTCTTATAGCTTTAAATACTTGGATTATCTATTAAACCTGGGTGGGCGGACGTGGGGAGGTAGGCCGCAAGGCAGCAGCGATGGTATTAGGTCCGGAGGGAGTTGGCCCTCGTTCGCTGTTTCCCTCGCCCACTTTAGCGAACCTTCCGGATATCTTTTGGGTTAAGGCCTGGGCACGGCTGAGGGATGTTCATAGAGACTTGAAAATTTACTAATTGGGAACAGGTCCGGTGTATCCGGTAGTTTGCAGAGACCCTCTAAGAGCTTAAATTCTTCAAACCATAGTCCTCTATGGCTTTTAAGCATTCTTAGTGTAGCAGAAGACTTTGCCTGCCTCATTGAAGACCGCCATCGTTATAAAATTAATTTACAAGACTGGGGTTTCGCGTTAATAAAACCCCAATAAGGTGTGTTCAAATTGGATATTAAAATTCTGTCAAACTTGAAGAGGCTTTTGACTAGCAGTGCAATGTTGAATTGGGCCCACTTTCCATCCATTCAAGCCTTATTCTATAGCATGCATGTGGGTTACGCATATGTAGCTCTGCAAGCTAACGT